CAAAATATCTGGAGCAAAGCGTGAGAGAGTACCTGACCCAGGTGAGTCTTGGTACAAGGAGGATTAGTGGTGTTTGACTGAGTTTTGACAAAAATGTAAGTTTCTGATTTTGCGCATTTTTCTAACAGTACCCAGTGACAACAGAGGTACATAAACTATGGGAAGAGGAAGAGGCAAAAGAACAGCAGACAATAAACCGGAATGATGAGGAAGAGGAGGATTTTATAACAGATGCCATCACAGGCAGGCCGTACAGGCCTCTTTCTGAGTCTGAGGCTCAGCAGCTCAGCATCCACCTGCAGGAGAGATGGAACAGAGCGAACCCCGAACTGAGCCTCGAGCTCCCGGTCGACGCCCACTGTCAGCGTGTGATCTCAGCTGTGCAGGACTCCAGGGTAGTTGTGATTGCTGGAGAAACAGGATGTGGCAAGACCACTCGGATCCCTCGTTTTCTGCTGGAGGATCGCGTGAGAGGGGGCAGCGGGGCTGAGTGCAACATCTTGGTAACCCAGCCTCGCCGGATCAGTGCTGTGTCGGTGGCCCACCGTGTTGCTCAGGAGATGGGTCCAGCTCTGAAACAGTCTGTAGGATATCAGGTTAGGACAGCCGCATAGATTATACAATATCTTAGTTGAACACAAAACGATTTGTTTTGATTTCTCTAATAAGAGAAATGTATTTGCAAAACTTCGTCTTGTGCTTTAAATATTAAGCTTTTTAAAACTTTTTATTCAATAAACATATTTGAAATTCCTCTCAACAAAGCTGTTTTTGGGCTCCCACATTAAAGTGCTCTAACTTTAATTTCAGTCATCACTGGGACATAAAATTATGTCATAAGTGTTTTTGGTATTTTTGTTTTTATGAAGCTATCTAGATTACAGTAAAATGTTTGATCTGCCTGCACTTCTCTAGAAAACTTGAGCATTGCAGCTCATGCAATGACTACAGATTTATATTGAAGTTCTAATTTTTGAGGGCCTTCCTTATATCTATTGTTTTTAACTATTTTCTGACATAAAGAGTAAAAAGTAGAATAAAATAAACTGGCAGTTTTCTTATTCTACCACATTGGTTCTGTAACTGAACCCTTGAATTGTGGCTGGTAGCGTCGCAAAGATATGAAGGGTTGAGTTAATCTTTTCCATAGTAATGCATAATATTTGTATTATCTTTCTCCTCTAGGTGAGACTCGAGAGCCGACTCCCAGAGCACAGTGGAGGAGCGTTGCTCTTCCTCACAGTGGGCGTCCTGCTGAGGAAGCTGCAGTCAAACCCAACCCTGAAGGGAATCAGCCACGTGGTGGTTGACGAGGTCCACGAGAGAGACATAAACACAGACTTGCTGCTGGCTCTGCTGCGCACAAGCCTGAACAAGAACCCTGACCTGAGGGTTGTTCTCATGAGTGCCACTGGGGACAACCAGAGGCTGGCTCAGTACTTTGGCGGCTGCCCGATCGTAAAGGTGCCAGGGTTCATGCACCCAGTACGAGACAAGTACCTGGAAGATGTACTAAAAGAGATGGGGCGTCAGTCTCAGGTCCCAGAAAGGGCGAAGACGGACAAAGAGGTGGAACTCACATCTGCCACATTTTTGTTTTTCACACATTTTTTTTTTTTCCCCAAACTGATGAGTTGCTCTGCGTCTTTTTCTTATTTAGAATGATGCCACACCGGATCTTGATTTAGTCGCTGATGTCATCGAACACATTGACAGATGTGGAGAACCAGGTGCCTATTTTACCAAGCTGTTAATTCACTTTAAATAATAGTGTGTGAAATTTTGGGCTGAGTCATATTTTACAACAACTCCTCTCCCCTTGTTCTTCAGGTGCAGTGCTGTGTTTCCTCCCGGGATGGCAGGACATAAAGGCTGTTCAAGAGAAGCTCGAGGAAAAACCGCGCTTCTCCTCTGGCTCCCTGATGATCCTGCCCTGTAAGTAAGGAGATTGATTTCCAGAGGCCTGCTTTTTGGCCTCTGGAAAAAGGTTCCCCACCTATAACCAGTTTATAATTGGTTCTGCTTTTCTTTTAGTGCACTCAAGTTTATCAGTGGCTGACCAGCAGGCTGTGTTCCAGCGCCCCCAAGTGGGACAAAGAAAGATTGTCCTGGCCACAAACATTGCTGAGACCTCAGTTACAATAGATGACATTGTTCACGTGGTGGATGCAGGAACTCACAAAGAACAGAATTATGACCTAAGGACTTATGTTAGTATTGGCATCTGATTTTATTCCAGGAAAATGTCAGCAAAAGTAATCTCTTTATTTATTTATTTCCCCCCCCCCAGGTGTCCTGTCTGGATACAGTTTGGATTTCCCGTTCAAATGTTACACAAAGAAAAGGGAGAGCAGGCCGGTGTCAGCCGGGACAGTCCTACCACCTTTTCTCAAGAGAACAGCTGGAATCCATGCCTCCCTTTCCCATCCCTGAGATCCTGCGCACCCCACTTGAGAGTTTAGTAGTGCAGGCTAAAATCCACAGTCCAAACTCAAAGGTACAGGAATCATTTTTTCCCCTGTTCTTTCTTGTATTTGTATTTAAAATTTTCTTCCATTTTATATTTATTAATGGCTTATCATTTTTGGTGCTTGTAGGCTGTAGATTTCTTATCCCAAGTATTGGAAAGCCCAGAGCCAGAGTCTGTGAGAGACGCTGTCCGTAATCTACAAGATATAGGTAAGCGCGTCTTTACTCGTCTTTACTCGTCTTTACTTGTCTTTACTTGTCTTTACTCGTCATTTTAAAGTGCACTTTTGTTTTGCAGGAGTCCTGGACAGGACCGAAACACTGACTCCATTAGGGGATCGTGTCGCCTGCATGTCATGTGATCCACGGCTGGGCAAAATATTAGTCCTGAGTAGCATGTTTAGATGTGTTCTGCCTATGTTGTCTGTAGCTGCCTGTCTCACTAGAGACCCTTTCCACAACAGCTTGCAGAACAGAGCACTAGTCAACAAGGTGAGATGTCTTCACCATAATAAATTTTGCCATATTTTTGTTTGCTAAGCTGTTACTGAGTCGTCTGCTTTCTGTTTGTCCAGGCCAAAGAGGCTCTGAGTGGCTCAAGCTACAGTGACTATCTGGTGGTCAGTAGAGCTGTTCTGGGCTGGAGGAAAGTTCAGCAGGACGGCAACCGAGAGGACAGGGATGAATTTCTGGAGAGACACACCCTGTCCAAGGCCAGCCTTCGGTTTATAAACGGTCAGTCTTTTACACCTTGTCTAAGTCCACTTTTGGAAGTTAAATCCCTGCCCTTTTGTTTTTTGCTAAAATGCTAAATTCAAATATTTCTGTCATGTGATCCTATTGCAGGTCTTATATCTCAGTTCAGTGAGAATCTGCATGACGCCGGGCTGGTTTCTCATCCCGGTGACTGCCAGCGTTACACCTCTCTCTACAATGAGCACAGCAACCAGGATGAGCTGCTTAAAGCTGTGCTGCTGGCTGGGCTGTATCCCAACCTCATTCAGGTACATGTCAGCTACCCAGACTGACTTTCATTGCCTATATCCTGCTATAATCCCCCCAGGGACTCATAATTATCTCTGTATGGATGGAAAATGGATACGTATGCATTTGTATGGTAACAGTGATGTAACGGTTCTATAAATCTACTTGAGCCTTTCTAGGTTAAAGCTGTATAGGTGTTTGTGTTGAATCTGACGTTGCATTGCATTCAAATTAGACCTGGTTTGTTTTGTTCTTTTGTTTTTAGGTGAAGAAAGGTGTTGTGACTAAAGGAGGACGCTTTCGTCCCAACAGCATTTCTTTGCGAACACTCAGTGGGCCAGTGCTGCTTCACCGCTCCTCAGTGAACCGGTCAGAGCATGCCCTAAATATTGAGTTGCATCACAAACAGACTTGATGTGCATGTAAAGTTTGTTTTCATTTTATATTGTAGAGGGAAAGAAGACCTCCCTAGTCGGTGGTTGACCTTCTTCAGTGCCATCAAGTCCAACGGGAATGTTTTCATCAGAGACTCTTCTGCAGTCCATCCACTCGCTCTGTTGCTGCTTACAGACTGCGATATCACAGAGATGGGTAAGATGTTTTCTGCTCTCCCTAAAGAATGCATTTGTAGCACAGGTTGGAGGATGGTAATCTGACTGAAGTCCTTTGTTTGTGCACCTCTCTGATCAGCTGAAAAACTTGTTGGTTTAGATGTGTTCAAGTGCTGACTAATGCTTTTGGACTTTTATGGAGTGCTACAGTAAAAATGAAATTATTTCAACTGTGCAAGTCTGTCTACATGTTTGCATTTTAGACAAGCACCAAAAATGAAATCATCCCTCTGCATTAGCAGACTTGAATACTACTCTTCTTTTTCTTGTGACCAGTGCATGGCGACAAAATAGAAGTATCATTTCCTGGACGATCTCTGGTGCGCTGTGAGCTGCCGGTTGAGACGTGGGAGCTGCTCTGGGAACTACGCACTTCCATTCAGACCATGCTGCACCGAAACCTCAACAGCCCCAGTAACACAAACGCTTCTCAAGATGGAAAGCTCATCTCTTTACTAGTAGAGCTGCTGAACAATACAGATTCAAATCCTCTTGTTCACAGCAGTGACAGTGAAGTGGATTGATAAGACTGAGCGTTTTCTACATGTCTGCTGGCTCAGACAGATTAAGTGGCCGATGATTTGCTGTTTTGACATCACTTTTTTTTTTTTT